CACCTCGCGGTTTGCGCCATCCTGAAGGAGGCACGGAGAACAACACTCGTCTCGGTAGACGGTGTTTCGGCATGCTTAGCACATGACCGAGCCACCGCAGTCGATGATGCTGGATGTTTTCTCGGATTGAGGTGCCTGCAGCACAACCAAATACCCGTTTTCTAATCGCCTCGTTACTGACACGCTGACGCCATCCGAAACCAGCCACGCTTCTGAGGTATCGGTGGTCGAAAACCTGAAGACGCCTCACATCATCTGTCCGCAGAGGCCATGTCTCGCACCCATACAACAACACAGTCCTTACTGTAGCCTGGTACACACGACCCTTAAGATCCGGTGAGATGCCTTTTTGACGCCACAAGTGACGCAAATTAGCAAACGTGATTCGATCCTTTGAGATTCTTGCAATGACTTCATCAGACACACTTCCTTCGCCTGAAGTTGAAACGGTCCCTAAGTGGCAAAATGCGCAGAGTGGAGTAAAAATATGAACAATGATATCACGCGCATGTTTGAACCAAAGTTTCAGATAAAATCCCAGTTGCACTTTGCGAGTTGGTAAATTCCTAAGGGTGTTTTACTATCTTCTACCGTCGTGCTGGTGTTCATGGGCAACCAAGGCGGGACTGTTATACTGATTACGCATTTCACTGTATTATTACGTAGGTACATAGTTATTTGTCCTTAAGATCGATAGCGTTTCTCCGACTCATAACCAAAACCTGCGAGAGGTTTTTGTTTAGGGGGAAGCGGAGGCCACAGAAACAGCTTCCTTCGATAAGAATTCACGCAGTCGACTTGAAATCTACCAGTAGTTCTGTTGTTGTTCTATGTCATGACCAAAAGAACAAGCTCCCCACAACGAGGGGTTACTACAAACAGGCTCTCACTCAGCGAAATGCATTCATCTGCATACCAAATCGGTTTACAAGGGGGACATACTTGAATACCCACTAAATCGCTCGTTTACATTGTTCTTCTTCGATTGAACCTGCTGCACCAGACTGCCCCATGCTTTAGTTGGTACAGTATTGTACCAGACGTGACACACTTGTCGCAAGGTTGCTGAAAACTTTTCGACAGCCTACGACATCATAAACGAGATTCAGCTTGGGTTCAGGTAAATCTATCGTGAAAACAAAGTGGTATGCAAATGAGTGTAGCTCGATACTTTTGTGCAATTCGGGTTCAAGTAGAACATAAGGTCGAAGGAAACCCGATAACCCAGCATGCCTTATCAGGCCAAAGAAAGGCGAAGTCGGTCGTAGGTTGTCAAGGAGATTTCGGCGACCTTATGAGTAAGCATTCACATGGTCTTGTATTGTGATCATGTTGAGTCATTTCTCTCGTTACCATGTTACTCGGTATAACCTGCGTTTCTGGAACCACCTCTTCTCTAACTCACATTACACTCTACGGTTGTCTTTCCTCCTTACAGATATTCTACTGTATTGACACGACAGCGGTACACATTAAAGGCCATGCGGTATATATGGCTCAGCTGCTGAAAAAAACTGTACTTCCTCTTGCCGTGCGGGTAGAGTTCGGTAGAGCGGAAGGTTTCCAGATGACAAAGACCGAGGTATGGTCATGAATATAACGTGGTCCATTCTGGGAATCCGGGTAGAATCGCGATTCTAATGTGTCAACGTTATCACCGTGTATAATAGCAATAGACCAGTAGTAGACATAATGGCAAGAACTGGTCAGAGGTAGGGGACTCGTAGAACAACCTTAAGTTCCTTGACACAGAGATATCAATTGCTTGTAAACTCATTGAAAGGGACGAATGTGGCCACAGTTAATAGTGTAAAAGGGACTCTATTTTCGTCTAGTTGTGGAAGGAAGACAGATGCTGGGTTTGTTGGGAGATCTTCCCGTTTTCCACAAGACGACCAAGTGGGTGATACTTATGGCTCATCTTTATATATTTGCAGAGATATTGTCACAAGAAAAAACTATTGGGCCCAAGCTAACTAAGATATCTAGTCTAATCAGCCGAAAGAGTGATAATTCATCAAGGGAAAGACGTAATATGGAAAGTACAAAGGTAAGGATGGGATACACGCAAGCGTTGTGGCCCGAAGTATCGGCGAATGAAAACGGCACGACCAACCTGCTCTAAACCAAGCGCCGTGGATGACGGACGTACGGGTTTCGGTGTGGACACAGCAAAGACGCCTGGAAGACATACGTCTGCGCCCGCGGGCTCCTCTGCACGTTCAAAAGCCGCAGATTTCGGGTCCCGTATACTGGAATCTGAACTATGTTCCGACCTGAGTAAAAGTGCATAAAACCGAAAAAAGAGTTTTCGTCTGATGCGAGATTGGTGAATCTGGATCAGAAACAAAGAATAAACTTCTGAGCTCTTTCAATCAGTGTTGCTCTCTTCTCTGAGAGCTTCTTCACTGGTGAAGTTTTAGGGAGTGATAAACCTATTCAGACAGTGAGCAGCCACATGGTAATCCGTACCCTCCAAGTACACGGATCCATCAACTGCACCATGATAAATGAGCAACTGGGTAAACGGTGCAGTCTTCGAACGGATAATGCACGAAAGCATGAGACAACTAACGGCGAACAATAAGCATTCATTAGGTAGACGGCGGTTATCGTGTGTGAAACCATAAAACTACTCCGACTTCTCAGACAGACAAGCTAGACCATGTGCAGTGGAAGAATTTGGATGGGAGAGGATACTGTGATCCTCAGAAGCGTGTAGTCCGTCAAATTTTTACCCTGGTTGTTGAAATTAAATGGGCACGGGTAACGGCTGACTGTGATAGCACAGCCGGACAAAACTCTCACCATTTCGTAGGATATCCGTTTCATAGAGATACTGAAGTGGCCAGTATACTGCATTATATATATATATATATATAT